GGCCGAGGCATCCGGGCGGAATGGAGCGGGAAGAGGGGTGGCATCCTGCCCCCCTCCCCGCCACGGGCTTGCCGGTCCCCCAGCCCTCCCCGCACCGCCCCCCGTCCCCGGGAAGCATCCCCCGTGGGATGGGGTGAATCAGGGTTTCCCGGGCTCTGAAAACAGAAACAAATTACGTATCGGCAGAGGGGAAAAATAAGGCAGCCCGGCTCAAACCGGGAGCGACATTACCCGGCTGTTTTCACCCCAGTGCACCCAGGCCGCAGGGACCCGCTGGCCCGGGGGGGTTGCAGCGGTGGTGGCTGCAGCAGGGACGGCAGCATCTCCATTTAAAAGCCTGCCTAACCCGGCACACAACCCCCGCCTCCAGCCTGCTATAAGCTGAAATGTGCTTTTATTTTTTCCCCTGCTTGCAGACCTGGAAAATGCCTCAGGTTGACACTGATTGTTTTGCTCTGCACAAGCCGAAAAATTCTGTTTCTCTTCTCCTTTTGGATGGGGAGGGGACGAAGCGGGTTTTAGCAAGCTGCCCTCCTCCCCGCGGCTGGCTTTTTACCATGAAAATGGCCTTTTCGGATCACAAGGATGCCCATGTTTTGCTCTGGAGACGTTCCAACACCATGGCTATGGAATTTTTGGAAAAGAGGCACTTTCAAAACCCAGCCTGCCCGCGTTTGGGGTGGGGGTGGGGTTCCTTGTTTTAATTTTCTCCTGCTGTTTTCATGGAGTCGCTCCTTTTCCCAGCTGAAACCACCGGCCGGATCCCCGTATTTCAGCGGCATCGCCCGGGGGCTGTTTGCTCCCCACGTCCCGCGGGACGGCTCCTCCTCGCCGCGGCGGCCTGCGGCCCGACCGCCGGCCGGGGCGCGGCCGCCTCTCCCCGTGGTGGGTATTAATTGGCGCTGCTCGTAGCCCGGGCTCCCAGCAGGCTTCAAGGGAAACTCCAGGAGCCGAATACACCCAGACATCCCAGGAGCCAGCTGCAGCTCAGACAGACACATAATTAGAGATAAGACCCAAGCCTGGCTGCAGATCTCTCCCCAGCATCTATTAGCGCTGAGTTTTTTTCCACCCCCCCCCCCCCC